TTCTTTTAGTGGGGCAGCTATGCCATCCGAAATATACCCGGGTATAACGAGTTTCTTTTAGTGGGGCAGCTATGCCGTCCGAAATATGCCCGAGAACGATGAGTTCCTTTTGGTGGGGCAGCTATGCCAGTGGAACAAAGCCATCCCAAGATACAGTACCATCATTGTTCCCCTCAGCACATGGATGTGCACCTCCATGGGCTGGTATATTCGTTTATACCCCATCAAAGGGAGGATATGCTCCGTCCTATAGTACGACATCAGCATAGTGATGGGGATTGGATGAGGTAGTATGGAAGGCATCAATGAGAGTCTTCAACACCATTAAGGGAATCTCAATCCGGCTAGGTCGCTCTCGGCCTCATTGAATTATTTGGCAACTCGGTATAAAGACCCTTCAAGTGATTGACGGGGAAACCCCTTTATGAATAAACGATATTTGTCGAGACAGATCAGCTCGCGTGAACTTATCATTATATGGAGCCTGCGTGACGTTCTTTGATATTGTGTAGTGTCGAAGCGTTGCACGAGTTGCGTTGTTCTTCTATGCTCGTTCTTAGTAATGGTCCTGCACGTTCTCGTGCCTTACAGCTCACTCTGTGTTTTGATGTGTTTGTGAGTTATTACTACCGTATCGCGTTAGAGATGGGTATCTGGACATTGCACGTCGATGCGGGAGAGTCTGGGAAAGTTTATCAGTTCGAGACGGCCTCCAATTCTGTGTTGGAGACAGTCTCGAAGGAGACGGCATCGAATCGTGTAGCCTTTTCAGCGACCTGAGTTGCATCTTTCGATCGGCTAGCTATTCCATGTAGTTCTGTCCTTATGACATCTGCTGTTGATAAATCTTCTAGCACGATGGAGGAAACGCCTGTTGCGAAGGAGGCCGCTATCAAAAAGACAGCCTCTCAGAACGGCCACACTGATGAGCGTAACAGCGGTGAGAGTGGCAGTCGACGTAGCTACACGCCAGGCTGTTTCGATATACTGTTTGGTCCGAAGGGGATAGGAGCCGAGAAAGCTAAGGACGCCCAGGGTCATGAACATACTAGGGAGGAAGTGAACAGGAGACTTCGGTGGAGTAAGCTGATAGTATTTCTCTATGGCTGTTCATGTGTTTACTTTCTCAGAGGGGCGAGCTCATTTCCCATCTGCTGATGTTAATGCTATTAGAAAACCCAAAGTTGGATCGAAAACTGAACTCCGAAGTCAATCAATGCAGGCCGCACCTCTAGTGCATTTCCAAGAATCGGTATCGTACTGTTCATTCGGGAGTGAAAGCCCTCCTGAACAGGTCGCACATCAGTGTAAAAATCGTACTGAGGTTCTAGTTGATCGTCCTCATTTTCATCGTTTGCCTAGCGCTCAAGATGCTCCTAAGGGTATTAT